TCAATGTATGAAGGGCATGGCATGATTCGAGAATTTATAGAGAAACTGGGGGAGTTAGGTGATGGTGTATTGGCATTATATTAAAAGGCTGCTTATTATAGCGTGGAAAGGGAAGAGTTGTGGAGGTTCATGCGCTGGCAAGGTTTTGGGGGAAGAAATATCTTAGGCAAAATTATTGTATCAGGGGGCATCGATGAGGGTGCAGGTTAATGGGAGGCTAGGAGTTAAAATAGATGCAATGGGGACTGCGCCAAGGTTGCCCACTATCGCAACTATTGTTTGAGTGTATACAGGATCCATTTTATTGGGCCATTCGGAGGTGTTGCGGGAGGTGGGGAGGGTAATGAATGGGGGGTGGGGGGGGCTGGTATCGTAGGTTGTGGATGACACTACTGTTTTGGTGAGAGGTAATAGGGACTTGCTTAGGGTGGGTAAGGTGGTGGATGTTTGGGGAGGCTTCAGGGATGAAAATTAATGTTGAGAAGACTAAGTTTCTGGACCAAAGGGATAGTACACATGGGGATGAGGTGGTAGGGGGTGGGTGGAGTGTGGTGGATTAACTATTGATATGTGGGATAGCTTGTGAGAGATACACGGGCGGCTCAAGAAGCGAATTCGGTGTGAATAGTGGATGGAGTATTGAAAAGACTTGGCGACTTGAGGGCGGCACAACTAAGGCTGCATCAAAGTGACTAACATGCTATCTGTACAGCAAGTTATGGCATGTGGTTGTCATGTACCCGCTGATGCAACGTGAGGTAAAAAGTTTAAAACATGATTTTAGGTTTATATGGGGATCGGGTTGCGAATGGTTAAGTAGAGCAGTGTTAACACTTCGGTCAGTTGGAGAGGGCTGGGGGTTGTACCTCTGGAAAAAGATGAGCTTTACCTAAAACTTAAGTGTTATAAGGAAGGGGGCGGGAGGGGAGGTGGACTTGAGAGTATGTAAGGATATGCAACGGTGGTAGGGGGGGGGGTAGGGATTTAATAGTTGGTGAGGCCATGTTGAGGTTTTTAATAACGGTGAGGGACCAGTCATGTGTTAAATTGCGGGTCCTCGAAGGAGTGGAAGGTAGGTCAGTGGTAGCTGCTGTTGAAGGGGCATACCCTATGTATGCGTGGAGCAAAATACGGAAGTCTAAAGCAATTACGTGTAAAACCGGGTGTTCGGCAGGTTTAGATTTTTACATGGTATTTTGCCGTCTCGGGGTTGACCTATTCAATAGGAGGATAGAGGGAGGGGAATGTAGAGTGTGTGGAAGCATGGGGACAATTTTTCATGCGGTATATTTTTGTGACTGTATAGTTGTGCGGGTCTGGTTAGGAAAGGTGTTTAGGTTAGTGGGAGGGGGAGGGTTGCAGGTGTTGCAGGTGTTGCGAGCTTTAAGTTTGGATATAGGTGGGGTGAGTAAGATGGCGGAGAATGCAGTGGCGTATTTGGTCACTGATTTTATTTGTCATGGGGCCATGAGGTAGGTGGGCGTGGATGAAAGGATTAAGGTGTTAGCTACGACATTTTACAAAACTGTCATAATAGGGAAATTTATGGAGGGAGTTGGGAGAATGCTTTTACTGAGGGCTATCGGAGTTTTAGGTTGAGGGAGTTATGGTATTTACCTGTTATGTAAGGGGTTGCGGCGGGCTGGCTCCCCGATAAGGATGGTGTGAAAGGGTTTTGTGTGGAAGAGAATGAATATAGTACTGACACAAGTACCTTTGATTGTGATGAGCGGGTTGTTGTGAACGATACAAGTTCAGTTTAATTATTAATTGTGCAATTGTTAAAGGAAGACAGATGTCGTAGTGTGATGGAATATTATATATATATGAAACTAAATTGTTGGTATGTGTAATGACATGACAATGTGGGTGCACTGTGAATGCAAAACCTATTAGGCATTGTGTGGTAGGAAGACATCAGTATTTATCGAAGTGTGAAGGTCATGCACTGTTAGGTATTATGTAATAAGAATTACATCTTAGTAGTGGTTTTAATGAAGGGTTGAACTATTTTTTAGAAAAGCTTGACTCATCTTGTGTTTTCATTACATAGTTTTTTCATGGGAGCTCTATAGAACTTGGAGATGACATTTATTGTATGGTATTTGATGGAGGACATGGGATTGGGTCTTTTACTGATTAACTGCATGCTTCATATGTATCCATTTATCACCTTCCTCTAGAAGGGGGTATGTTTGGGTGTCTAGTAGATATGTTGTGCATGAATCTTGTAGAATTGATTTTTATATCTCAATATATTGAGTAAAACTGAACGCATGTTGTTCAGTATGGAATAATGCAGGAATTCATACAATATAAAGTTTAATAGATTGTCAGGTGGCTTGCACGAAAAAGGGGGGGGGGTAGTGTTCAGAATGTAAGGTGTACACTCCGTGGCAGCATGTACAATCAGGAATTAATGTACCTGCCAAGGGGTCTTTAGGTTTTAGTGTTCCAGGCATAATGTCATTACTTCAAGGCTTGGAATAGTTATTGTTTACTGTACAGATTTCTTTCAGATGTACCATATCACTTGGAAAGTACATGTACTATGAAGAATTTTGCAACATATATTGTAAGACTTATTGTGGTAATTGAGATGTGTATAGATTTCTTTTCTTTTTCACCACTTCTCGCTATGTAATTTGTAGTTTTGCTTTTATGTACTATGTACGTCTTTTAAATAAAAAAAAAATCCCTCTTGCTACCCGATACCCTCGCATCCTTCACTTCCCTGCCCTGCAGTGCTGTATAGTCGTGGTTTAGCGTTTTATAATAATCACCCTTCCCCTCAGACTCTGCCACTATGGGGTTAACATTCAGGAGCGTAGTAGTTTAGACGGACGGGGGCATCACATCAGAGCAGAATTAACAATGCTTGTTCCTCGGCCAAACTTACCAGTTACTCGTCATGCTTTACAGAATGGGCGACAACCTTGGATATTTTCCTATTTAATGACCCAGATATCCTTTGAGTAACAGTACTTTAAATTTTACTTAGCGGCATCTTGCTGCAAGATAAAACTGGGTTTTCCAAAGTCTTGGCAAGCAGTTGTATAATCTAGGTAGGTTCATAGGTTGCCTCTGCAACCAGCAAAAAATTAGAGCAGTAGTGAAGAATTAGCTAACTGCTACCCGATGTTTAGGTATCACTGCTGCATTGAAGGCTAGTGTGGGGACTAGTTAGATTTAATTAGAAAGTCATCACTAGATCTGCTCATTGGCAGTGTAAAGTGTGCAGGAAGCAAGATTCCTCTGCTGCCCACGGCAGGTGGTAGCGTGACTTTTGGTGCGTGACATGGTCTTGCCCAGAATAGCTGCCAACCTCGCTCCCTTGACAAAAGTCTTGTAAGAGGACTGAGCCAGTGGACAGGTTGTGGAATCTGGTTAATATCGATGGCAAACTGTCCTTTAGTACTACAACGAATACTTCACCAGTAACAAATGCCAGGGCGTTGTATATAGTTCTTATTTGACTAATAACTTAGTCGTTAGTCAGCGTTATGGTACCAGCCAGTGTTTAGCTTTTCGTGTGGGCTTCTCCCTTCTACAGGGCTGTTATCACTGAGCACGCTGGGCATTGGCTATTTACTAACTTTGTCCTTTATATCTGGCGCGTAAGACCGACCAGGTGGGTCTATGCTGCGTACGGTTGACTCTTGATCAACTTTAGGACTGACTCGTTAATTTGAATCGCCAGTTTTACTTGTACAAGGCCTCTATCGACCTTCCACAATATAATGGCTTGCAGTCTATTTACTTCTACACAGCAGACTCCCCCCAAGTTAGCTGTTGATGGGCCTAGGTACTTGGACAAACTCGTCAGTGACGTCTTTTCTCGGTTCCTAAAGGTTTAGTACTACTTATTGATACAATAATCATACGTGGATCTTGGTGCTTGTGTTTCTTATCTTTTACCCTTTGCATTTGACCACTGGATTTTGTTCTAGACCTTTGTGATTTTTCTACAGTAGCTGGGTTTGAAGAGTCAAGGTAATGATCACACTAGCAAAGTGACTCTAATCACAACCATATCTGATCTTGATTGATAAAGCATTACCTAGGCATACATAAAATATTTGTAGGGTTTTCTGGTTCCCGACTCTTGGTCAGGGGTGATGAGGCTTGTGCTTAGGGGCCATTTTCTAGGTTGGTTGGTTCTTGAACTCGTTATCTATTTAGCAAAGTTGATATTTTCACCTCGTTTAAATTTACTTTTCAGATAAACGAATTATGGTTGAATTATGGAATGAAACTGAACTTTGGTTTGTAGTGATAATTTCCAAGATTGTGCAAATGTGACAGCTGAAATACCTGAAGTGCTGAATAACGTTCATTGTTTTGTAAATAAGCACCACTAAGTGGCCTGCCACCGGCGTCAATCTGCAATATACTTATAGCGGTGGGCTGCTTGTTTCCTAAATTTACCAGATCCCGAGTGATGCAACCTGTTGCTCGTGTGCTATGGTGTGGTTCCCTAAGAGCGAGTACAACTAGAATTGACTAGTCTTGTGCCAAATGAGAGGTACTCGCCATACCTTGAGGCATACAATGTTCTTCCAGTATGAGGCCTTCTGCCATTCCGTTGTCAGACCTATGATAGTCGCAGGTTACCCAATCTACCTGCAGCAGTTATGCTGGTGCCTGGCCCGTAGAGTTCTTGGCGGTTGTAGACTGAGGCTGTTGTAATAAGCTTACGCTCTAGCAAACTTGGCTCTGGCTTAGTGATCACATGGCCCCCATCCCTCTAGGGGCCCGGGGACAAGGGTAAGGAAGTTGTATATTGTTTACAGTTGCTGTTAGGCACTTAGACATAAGTCAACTGAGGATCGTACATGACAATATTCCCATTGCCACCTGGTTTGCCGGTCCTCATGACCATTCATGCGTAACTTGTGCTGGAGACTTCGAACATTCTAACTAAGGTTTGTTTTCAGCAGTTTTTATAACTTGTACTACCTTATTAATATACCTGTTAAAATCTTTTTTTTTTTTTTCAGGGTCCACGTAGCGAATTCGTATTGGCAGTGGTGAACAGTCAAGCTGGAGTCTTCTTCTACCAGTATAATGGTTGGAGATTCGTCCGTAGCCCTTTCAAGGTTTCCACTGCAGTACGTAAATATACCAAATACCTGTGCATATTGTGCACTTTGCAAAGAATTTCTAGTTCTGTTGCACAATGTTACCTTGTAAGTTAGTACCTCTTTATCTTGGCTAGGGTAAGTTGTATGGATGTCTAGGCTTACGTTTTATTAAAATGTATTCTATATTTAAAATTTTCTTGTAGGGTGTAGAAAGAGCATGGATCACTTACGCACCAGAGACGTTGAACAAAGTTATCCTCAGTGTTGTTAACCCTTTCGTAGATGGAGGCCAGCCTAGCGTGTTCTACCTAACATTTGAGCAACAGAGGCCACTATCTGTAACTATTGCTAGTACTTGTACTTGTTTAAGACTTTAATAAAAAAATAGGCTAATTTTCTTCGTATGGGCCGTCTTTAACTTGTATTTTAATTTCAGGTTTACCACGACGAAACCTTAGCATGGTGTGAATCCTATAAAGGAAGTTTATATAGCTTGAACACTTTGGTTACTAGTGTACGCAATGCACCAAGGATAGATCAACCATATAGCTTCAGTAGACCTGCGACTATTCATGGGAACCTAATCGTACCCGCAGGGGCTTACTTGTCAGAAGTGAGAGATGTAAGTAGTTAAATATAAGTAAGAGAAACCTTTGACTGCACTATCGAATATTTCTGTAACCACTACCTGATAAAACTAAAAGGACTTGGTCCAGTTTTTCCATTAACGATGTCCTTCCTGCAGTGTACAAAATGTTCTACTTTATGCAGATCCACGTCAGGATTCCGGACTACAGTGTGGATCATAGTTTCACCAATTTTGCAGGCCGCATTGATGGCGTCAATAGTGCTTTCGAGAGAGTTTCTAGAGCTAAAGTTACATTAATACAATCTAGAAAGCTCAACAGTCCCAATTTGGGTAAGTTAGTTAAAAGTAATTGATAAATTTCTATAATGCATTTAAACAGCAATGCTAAATGTGATTGTGTTTTTGACAGATGGTCTTCGATTCTCGAACGTGGAATTTAAATGCATGATTGGAGATCATACTGGCTGCAAGGTTGGAGACTTGCTTGTGAAGACGGTATGTATGAAGTCTAAACTAAAATGTAATGGCGCAGAAAAAAAAAATAGAACAGTATTCAAATCTGACTTCTTGCATTTTATCTTCCAGATAAATGGGAATTAGTGCTTCCTTCGATGGAGCTTTAAGGCTGACAGATAACATTGAACTTGCCAACCAGAGTTTTGCTAACGTGGAAGTGACTGAGGAGCCGTAGCTAGCGTTTCGTATGTCAGTGGTCCTGATTTAGCCTCTGACTTCCACTTCAGACCTGGTTACCCTCAGTAGTAATCATAATATTGTTGGAGAAAAGACCTTTGGTGTTCTAAAAGCTAATAATCTGCAAGTGTCCGGCACAGGTGAGATTATGTTGTATACCAGTAACTTAAATACAGGTGGGAGAAGGAATCTGTGGAGACTGGATAAATTCAACTAAGCTTCATCTACACAGTAGTGAAACGAAGTCAATAATGACTAATTAAAATTTCTTCCACGAATGTTCTTAGTTGAAATGGAAAAATAATATTCAGGTGGCTACATGACTTTAATTCTGTTTCAGTGGATTCGGTTCGTATTGATGAAAGTGAACTACTGCTCACTGTAGACTATCAGAAAATTTCTTCAGATATTACTATTGAATCTCTCTCGTCGCATAATATAGCGACTACAACGCTTAATGGCAGAGACTTCCAGCGTTTCCTGAAAACTCTGGTTCTCAACAACACCAGCCAACATATACTGGGTAAGCGCATGTTTCTTTAATATACATAAACATTTACTGAACTACTTTTTTTTTATAATTTTCATAGTTTACTTCGCAGGTTCTTTGGTGGTCAATGGAGACTTAATAACTCAGTCTATACAGGTTAACGTTCCAGCACCACTGGATCCTCTCTCGATAGTGAACCGGGCCCTCTTCCACACCACTGAAGACTCTCAAAAAATAACTGGTAATTGATTAACACGTATGAAAGATAGATAGGCTTCAAATAATTATGGCAGCACGAGTAACCCTAAATTTCTGCAGGTGCTGTCAAGATTGGAGGTTTGACAATACAACGTGGTCTGTCAGTCTGGGGCCGGATTAACGGAGCAATGATTCCACATGAAGTGTTCATGAGGAACTATGAAGAGACTATAAGTGTTCCGACCACCTTTGAGAGACTTCGTGCAGACACACTAGTGGTGAAACAGCAGCTTGGTAATGTCAAGGTTTGTAAATATCTAAGTAACTTTCTGTATGGAGTAAACTTTCAACCATTGTTTTTAAAGGGTAATAAACCATACCACAGGTGGGGGCTTGAACCCGCGGTATAGTTGGTCTGCAATAGTATCATTAAGATTTCGCGAGTAGTTAAAGGATAATACCCTGCCCCAGGAAGGTTTAAATATTCTCGTATTTAAATACTAGCCGATTGGCTTAACTAAGGTTGAGTAGGGCGTACCCAGAAAGCCAGGATTTAACTATCGCTTCTTATTACAGGTTATAAATGGAGAATTAGACCTATTATTTGTAAATGGTGATCAGGAAGTAGTTGGCAAGAAATCCTTCGTGAGCATGATTCTTCGGGACCATTCGTCTGTTGCACAGACTGTATCAGGATACAGACTAGAAGACTTCGGGAAGATTTTGTCTACAGATTTTGTGACTGGCGTGAACTGTAAGTTTCTCTTCATAGTGTTTGTATATAATTCATAGGTAATAGATTCATTGAGAACAATCACCCAGGGAGGTACTACCCTCCTGAAGTGTTCAACTGAATCCTGTAATTTTTTGCACGATGGTAGGTTTGCTGGGGTTTTTCTTCCACTAACTCGTGTCATAAGCACGCGGGATTCCAGGTAAATCTTGCTGCTTAAGTCACACTACACATAAATGTTCGCACATATATTTACACCAACTGCGTTTTTCTTGCATTTTCTTGAGTTTTTCTCATCTCCCTGGGGAAGTGGAATTGTTCCTTAAGCCATGGGTGTTGCAAGAGGCAACTAAAATGCCGAGAGCAAGGGGCAAGTAACTGTTGTATTAATTGCTAATTTTAAAACTTGCCTGTTTGGATCACCCTACCACTGTGAGATACTGCCGCTTTGTTGAAAATATTTCTTAAGGATTTTAACTTTTGCAGCTGGTCGGATGATAAACGGTTCTGTGGACTTCTTAGACAAACTATACGTGAAGAGTGGTATTGTGGATGGAGTTAAACTATCTGATATACAGAACAGTGCTATACCCCTTGACACTAGAATTTCTTCCACGTTCATATTCCAAGGCGCTGTAAAGGTAAATGTCGCATATTGCTATGAACTTCGATAACCGATTTGAATGTCGGTATCTAAGTTGTACTGGATTTATGTAGGCTTTCAAAGAATTTAAAGTAGTTTGGGTCTGAACAAGCCCATGTAATGGGTTTAGGAAGACGATCTCTGTATAGTAATGACATAAATAGGAACTTATAGAAAGACTGAAAATTCATAAAGGAAAATGTATGCAGATTAACGAGAGATGGACTCGTTGGGATATTGCGAACTTGCTTAGTATTGGCAGTGTACTGCAGGTTTTAATTAGAAGAGCAACTAACAGTTTCTATTTTGCAGGTCATTGGAGACTTTACTGTTGAATCAGAGTTAAATGGAAAAAAAACGGAGAACTTTGTTCGAAAAGGGATCTCTCACATTTTTACCAAAAATGTCACCTTCAATTCCGATTTAGTAAGTTCGTAAAATTCTTTTTAAGTTTAAAGAACTCTTGACACAAGCTACCTTCTAAAGCAGTTTTCAGCATGCTTTTCGTATTTAAAATTTATCTTCAAAAATTGAACTTCAGCTCTAGCTTGGAATTAGAAATTGCAAATTTTTAAATTAGCGTCATAATTGATGTTGGGCCAGAATGAGTTTGAAGTAGACGAGGCTACTGTTGGTACAGTCCAGGAAGCTTTGCCCAAAAGATTTAAATTAAACATTTTCCTTGCAGAAAGTAGAGGGGAATGTTCTCGCAGAAAGTGTAAATGGATTTGAATTCAGAAAGCTAGTGTCACGGTTCGTCCTAAAGGACGAGGCTCAGACAATTGTCAGTGATGTGTTCGTGCACAAGCCTGTGGTGAGTGATGTGATGGTCACGGGACTAGTTCTTATTGACGATGTTGACCTTTACGATACATTGCTGCTTACTTCTACAACTTCAATAACTGGTTAGTGGAAACAAAAATTTCTTTGGAAACATTAGCTCGTGTAATTACATGTAAAAATTGGTTAAACTAAAATCTTGAAACCTGTAGGCCCTTCTATAAAACTAAATACAGGTAACTTTACTGTTGTGGTTTTTTGTTTATCCCGTAGGATCGACTGTTCGGATTTCATGGAAATTCGTAAGTTGATGTTAAAACTGCAGTTACTTGTACTTTTCGGTTAATTGTTAAAAGGAAGATTCAAAACAGTTGATATAAACTGGTTTTAAAATTTGGTACATGTTAATTCAAAAGTTTAAAGGATTAGTGTTAACTGAAGGAAATGCACTTGGTTTTTGGTAGTACTTTCTCATTTAGAAAGTTTTCAGTTATGGTTAGTCGTGAATTTGTAAATTTGTAAGTTTAAATGTCTTGTTAAACTATTTTAATTATGGTTACATTCTACTTTATTAAAAGAATTAATGGCTGCTATTAAGTCTCCCCGAAAGGTAAAAAAGGCTGCTAGAAATTTTAGTTCATAACTTTAACTAGTGACCATTGGACTCGGTCAAAACTTCATTGGGAATGGCTTAGTGACATTTGATAGAAAAATCTTGTGTAGGCTAACATGCGGACTACAGCGTATGCTAAATTCATTAATCGCTCGGATAAAACTTAGCATGGATGCACTTCGTACTTAAGCCTGTTGAGCATGTCTTAACTTTTCCAGAACGTCCGCAGAGAGAGTTAAGACTGGTACCTACTAATTTCAGTTGGCAATCTGGCTTGTCATAAGGCCTCTGCAATGGGCTTTGCATTTTAAGCTTGTAACTGGTGCTGTTGACTGAATCTGGACTAAAAAAAAAATCCTTTTCCCTCTTTACCGTTAAGTTTGAGATACTCTGCCTACGGCCTTGATTATAACTTACTTTTTATAGCAATATAGTGCCTCGATTTTGCAAAAAATGACTACTGCAAAGTATGTTAAATTATTGAAAATGGTTACTTAATGCATTGTCAGGTTCCTGAAATTTTAAATGTTAAGCGGGATTGGAATAACATAACCAGACCTCTTGCGAGATTTCAAGAAGTTGAATTTAGATTCGGAGACTCGCCAAATTTTTCAGTATTTTAGTCTACTGAAAACGGAAAATATAAGGTTGAAATGTGATTGATGGGCTTGCAGTAGAGTTTACTTCTGAAACGGAGGGCTGGAGTTGTCTTAAATGAATGATCATATAGCGCTAATTATTTTTTTCCAGGTGAAAAGACATTCACTACTCTGAAAGTTTTGTCTGGTGTGACTGCCGGAGCAGTGAACATAGCCCCTTTTGGCACTGTAGATGATGTTGATGTGGACGATCTCTTTGGTAATTCTCTTCAAAAATCCGGTAAATACTTGCAAAGCGGTATTTTGTTAGGTTTAGGCTGACTTTTCAATGATTATAGTTACAATAAAGATTACTTCAAATTAGTTTTCAATATTTTAGTGAATTTCTAACAAACCACCTGGAGTGGTTGCCTTAATTAAAACTTATTGATTTTGGAGAACAGACATAAACTTCAGTAACAAGACTGAATGATTCCAGTTAAACTTTAAAACATTATTAGAGGGGAGAAAAAAACTGATGGAAGAAACTCGAACCAGATGAGTTTCAAAAGAAGCTAAAATTTAGGTTCATCTGTTAATCATGGAATAAAGTAGCCAACGCAGCTTTGTGGTAGTGGTTGTATCCATACAAAGTACCACTGCTCAATTTGTCTAAAGTAAAAAATCTCAATTAGCCAGAACGTAAATTGCCTTAATGTCTTCAGGAACAGGTATACAGCATCTAGTAGGAAGATACATAAACAAGCTGACAGCATCTTCAGTCACTGGTACGGATATCGATGTCTTGGAGAAAAGTATAATTAACATGGACAGTAGTATGGAACACATTGTTGGATCCTTGACGTTCACTGGTTCAGTGACTGTCCTATCATTAACATTCAGTAAGTAATATTTAAAATGTTTCAGAATTGCAAAGGATTCTTTATAAAAGTGCACAATTAATGTTGGGGGGAGGGGAGAAAATTTATTCGGATGTAGGTACAGTTAAATCATCCAGCAGCACGTGTAATTACCTATTATAACCTGAAAAAAATCATTTCAATTCTTGATGCAGTGTATTTATAGAACTTCGTAAGTTCGTGACATTAACAGCACTGTTGGTGTAACTTCAGTTAAATTCCTCATCAATTCAAACTGAGTGTAATTTCTTATCTACATATTTGAATTCTGTTCTTGTACCAAAATTTATTGAAGTCTTTTAATTTTTTAGTTATCTCGTTAACTAGCATAAATAAAAATGCTAGTCAAAGCAGTTGTATAAAATAAAACTTGAAACTATATTGTACAGAAATCTTCGATGGCGTGTCAGCTGAAGAGTACAGCTCCAGTTGGTTGACGAAGACTGCCAGCCAGTCCTTGACTGGTGTTAACGTCATGCAGAATGTTGAAACGGAAGACCTGACTTTCAGAGGAAACCTCGTTAATGGAGTAGACCTGGATTACCTTGTTAAGAATACAGCTAAGATTGATGAAGTCACAACTTTGGATCTGGTGTCCTTTGGTGAGTTTCTCCCTCTATGTAATGTTAGTTTGGCGAAGGCTTGACTTAATATGGAAAATTTGCTTGTAAACTTTTTACTTTTAAAATTTCGGTTTTTTGCAGATAAAATTGTATCTAATAGTGATGTGGTGTTGGATGGTAAAATACAAGGGTGGGATTTGAGCGAAGAAGCTGTAAGAGCAAACGTCTTTGACCAGAAGGTGAGCATTCCAAAATACTAAAGAAACCAGAATCTTCGTGTCACCCCTCGTACCATTTTTACTTTAAATTGAATATTAATACTCTCCCCTCCCCCACCCCTTTTTTATAGGTGAGTGGCCGAAAAGTGTTCGAGTCTCCCGTGCGGTACTCGGGCATATTCTCGGTGACTCGTGATGTGGTAGTGAAGAACTATCCCGATGACTACCCACTCGCAATTGATATCGGTGGCCTCTGTCTCAGTCTCGGTACACCAAGCACAGCTATCTACTTAAAGAACTGGACTATCAGGGGTTAGTGTTTGCTTACCTTCTGCAATTTAAGACTATTAGTCTTAAATTGGAGAATATTAAGAACATTAGAATTAACACTGCAGCAGGCCTGTTGGACCAGGCTGTCCAACCTATATTTAAAGCTACCCAGTGTTAGCTTGACCCTACAACTTCCTTGTGCCATACAACACTTACGAAATAAATACTTCCCTAACCCTTTCTAAATTTGTCAAACTAATATTGCCAGATTTGTCTTCAGGCAAGTTTGGAACATTATTGATCTTCCCTTCATTACTGTTTGACACCTTTAATATCATCCCCCTAATTCACTGCCTATCCTCGCAGGAAAGCACATTTGTAATATAATTACTAGCAGAGCCCCAAAACTGTCCCCAGCTCACACCACGTATGAAGGCTCCCATTATCATTTTAATGCTTACACTTTCAGGTGATGCGTACTTTGGAGGAAGTGTAACTTTGACTGGTTCCCTCAATAGTGAAAATGTGGCTACTCTGGAAGATTTCTTCTGGTTGACAAATGTGCCGAATCAAATAGCTGCAGTTGGTTCTTTTGGATCTGTGATTCTTGGTGTCAATGCTAACCTAATGCTGGATGTGATGGTAATTTTTAATTTCTCGCCATTCCCTACCCCATTTTTTCTATAGTTGACCAAATAGCCCATCCCCCTGTAAGTTATACCTTGTAGACACTTGCAGCCTCTGAAATATTCTTAAGCATTAATTTTTTTCTCCGCAGTGTGAGACTTCAACCTCCTCCCCCCCCCCTTCCCCAGGCATTTGTAGTATATGCCAGTAAATACTGTAAAAGACCTACAGAGGGCATAATCAGTCCAGTGTTTCGTTAATCTGTGGGGAAAAGTTTAGTTAACTAGTTTTGAACGGTCTTTTACCGAAGCATAAACCTTGACTAAACTGGGGAAAACTTATGACAATTGTTTAGTACTGTATTAAAAAATTAAGCTGGTTTGTTTTAATTGCTATAATGTTACTGGGGCGAGTAGTGGCAGTTAAACCAGAATTGTGTATGAATTATTAACTTTTCGTAGAAAGGTGTAATTCTTTCAGAAGTTATAATTACTGTATTTTTCCCTTTAATGTTTTCAGGGTAAGATAAACGACTATAACTTCGATGCTGTTTGGGATCAAATGCTGAAGAAAGAATGCAGAGAGCAGATAGTGAACGCAGAATTCGCACTCGACACATTAATCACACATGTTCTGGCTACAAATATCATCAAAAATCCAGCTGATGATGTTGGTGTGGTATGTAACTAATGCAGTTAACTGAAATTTTCGAAACTGAACATTCACCTTTCTAAGCTTAACTTGTTTTACAGAATGAACTGACAAATATTTTACTGAAGGATGGATATCAAGAAATCTCTGGAAAACTACATGTACAAAGACTGGAAGCAAAAGGTTGGTATTAGTAATCCAGTGAAGGCTCGTATTAATAATCCATCTTAGCGTTTCAACTAAATAATTCTTTATAGGTGGAATTATCTTGAACGGTACTGTAAACGGGCTGAGGATCGACCATGACTTCGTTCAGTATGGGAAGGTGGCAACCATCATGGCTAGAAAAATCTTCCTTGAAGATCTCGTCATTAAGGGAGACCTGGAAGTGGTGGATGAAGGCACAATTCAGGTTTGGGGAAAAAAGTTTTTAACTGTGTATATTGATTTTTCATTAAAGTATGAAGTTACCGATGCATTAAATCTCAACAGGGCGTTGATGTGTCAGAGCTTGGCAGACTTTCCCTAAGAAAAACAAATGGCGAATACAAGATTCCTGGGCTTACTACTTTTAAAAGCTTAAGATATACTGGTCAGGATTTCTAGTAAGTACCTTCGGAAGATTTTTAGGAACATTCCATCGTACCCTTTCCTCCAAAGAAAACTTGTCAAAATGACTTTTCAAGACAAGAACACATTTTGGTCTGAAACTTTAAATTCACATTTTTAATTAGGAATTTTACTAATTTCTAATGACATTTTTATTTTGTAACAAGAATAACTTAGTTTACGAAACTGAATGTTGGTCATTAACCCACTTAGACTTAATGCTTAAACTGTTAACCATTTACGTTTAATGTATAATTTGTAAATTCTAATATGCTATCAAAGGCTAGCTTCTAACTTTATTACAGTGTGTATGGTAGTGTTGATGGCGTTCTGGTGAAGAGAGAGTCGCTACTATTAAAATCTGGCTACCAAGAGATTCTGGGGAGGCTGCTAATTAACGCTGGGTCATCTGGCATTGCTCTAGAAGCTAATTCTTTGGTTGTTCTAGACAATAGACTTAATCAAATTGACCTTAATAGGCTGATCAATGTGACGGTAAGAATACGCGATTCTGTAATTTGGTAAATTGATGGAAAATCAAACTGAAGTTTAAATTATAAGTGACTTGCATCTGATCAGTGTAAACAAACTATCAATAAATGGTTATAATAATTTTCAAATGGTAAGCCAGCAGAAGGCCTTTGTCAACGACTCGCCCTTCAAGCCGAGGGTCATGTTAAACCCAGCATCAGTTACTTGTCCCATTTCCTGACAAACCTTACTCAACACCCACTATAGGTGACAAATCTCCTATAGTGGGTGTATTTTTATTTGACACTTAATTTGGTAAATCAAATACCTTGGTTACCTTTTAAATTTCCACTCTTTAATATGCTTTATAAAAACTTGCATGCTAAATTTTTATCTTCTAGGTGAAAATGGACACGCAAAGCATAATCCAGCAAGAAATCACGTTTTTGGATATATGTTACTTCAACATTTTGACATTAGAGAACCATCTCATTAATGGTTACAATATTACTGATCTTGGATTGCTCATCAATGGCAACTACCTCGTCAACATGGGTGACCACTTGACTATTGCTCTTAACGTTGCAAGAGACACTAAGGATTTGCTTGCAGGTACGGATTTCACTCGTTTTCAGTGAAAATAAAGCCACTCGTGAAAGCTTCCTCTTCAAGGGGGGGGGCTCTTTGGCGTGGTGAAGAGGCTCTTGGTCTGAGGAATTAGACCTGTGGGTCTCCTTCCTCAGACCGAACCTAATTACCCCCCCCCAATTCCCCCTACCTTGTCCCACCCCTTCCTATTAATCTTTTTTCCACAGGCACGCTAGTTCCTGGGTAGGGGAAAGGGTACTGGGGTCCATCCCATTCCGTTGAGGTTCTTGGCGGTGTAGTAGTTTGCCGTGGAATCTTGATCGCCTGGGGATGTCCCAGTCCCTCTCAGGTCTCCCGGGGAGTGGCTTTGGGCATCTTTTGGGCAACGGGTGCATCTCTGGAGGCTCCCTCCCTGGACTTGATCCAAGCTGAAGGTGTCCCCCAGGGATGTGTTCTGAGCACACCACTTTTTCTCCTTGCTATAAATGATTTGGCCTCTAGTCTTCCCTCAAATATTTGGTCATCACTGTTAAGGACTTCTGTTGTCTGTGCAGGCGCTGACTGTCACCTCATCAGTTTCTCTCGAGCATGCGGTCGACAGTGCTTCCAATTGGGCCACCATGCATGGGTTTAAATTTTCCAGTACCAAAACTCGCCAAATTACTTTCGGAAACGCTGTCATCTCCGATCATCCTTTGTACCTCTATGGCTCCCGTATCCCTGAACGTGATAGTCAGGTTTCTGGGCCTCTTTGACCGTAGATGATCCTGGAAACCTCGCATTACCTCTCTGAAGGCAACTTGTCACAGCCGACTGAACCTTCTTAAAACCCTTTCTCATCTTTCATGGAGCTGATCGTCGAACTCCCCTTCGCCTACATTCCACCCTCATTTTATCGAAACTTGATTATGGTGACCAGATTATTCAGTGGCCTCTCCTGCTGCTACTCTAGCCTTAACCCCATTCATCACCAAGGATTACGTTTATGCCTTGGTGCTTTTCGCTCTTCCCTTGAGACTATGCAGAAGCGAACGTTCCATCCTTATCCGATTGCCATGATGCCCATTGCCTTCACTTATGTATGCTCTCATGATCTATGCAATCCTTCCATTTATAGAATGGTCACTGATATTAGTAGACATACTTTATTTGTTCGCCGCCCCTGTTTACTCCGTCCCTTCTCTCTTCGCCTACATTTGCTCTCGTCTTTTCAATTACCACCTTTCTATATTCATGTAGCATCTCACTTTTTCCCTACCCCCCCTGGGAAGTTCCAGTTGTTAGTCTGTTCTTTCTCTCCCTTGCTCGAAAGCCCAACTGTCGACAGTCTCTTCCTACTTTTTCTTGACCACTTCCACTCTCATTCTCATGCCATTGCAGTGTACACAGATGGCTCCAAGTCTTCTGACGGCGTAGGATTCGCAGCAGTGTTTCTGGACAGCGTCGTACGAGGGCATTAACTATCTTCGGCTAGTATTTTTACTGCTGAATTGTATGCCATTCTTGCAGCACTTACCCGTATTGCATCTATGCCTGTCATCATTTGTGGTTCTCAAGACACCCTTAGTGCTTTACAGGCTATACAGAAATTTGATACCTCACCCCTTAGTCCTCCGTATCCAACTTTGGCTATGCCGCATCTTTACCAAGCATAGATAATTTTTTGTTGGGTCCCTGGTCATGTTTACGTACAGGGCAATGAACAGGCAGACACTGCTGTGCGGTCAGCAGTACATGACCTACCAGTTTCATAGAGGTATTCCATTTACGGATTATTTTGCTGCAATAGCTACCCACCTTCGCACCCGTTGGCAACAACGTTGGTCTACTCTGCTCTGTAACAAACTTCAATCTATTAAACCGAGTATAGGTTGCTGGCCGTCTTGTCACCAGTGTCGAGGTTGGGAGACTACTCTCCTGTCTTCGCATTGGCCATACTAGTCTTAATCATGGATATCTCGTGGAGAGGCGCCCTGCTCCTCTGTGAGAATTCAGGTTCCATTATCAGTCAGCCACATTCTGTTAGACTGCCCACTTTATCAATGAGCACGCAGAATTTACCTCACGTCTTCTTTGCTCCGTTGCTCTTTACCTTCCCTTCTCGCTGATGGACCCACCTTTCATCCGGACTCGTTGACTTTTTGACAACTGACTTGTTTCACAAACTGTTACCTTCAGCCCTTTCAACCTCAATCTCTTGCTACCCTCTACCCCCGCACTGTCCCCGGCCCCGCTGTTTTCTGTAACCTACTGATCATCCTTCCCGCCCAATACCCTCGCTTCCTTCCCTACCCTGCAGCGCTGTATAGCCCTTATGGCTTAGCTATTTTTGATTATAATCGTGAAAGCTTGTACAGTGTCTTTAAATCTCTTGCAGAAAAACCTGCAGAACTCTGGTATTTCGAAGAAACTTACATGGAGACGGTCTACAAAGTGTTAGCAGTGATGTAAGTAATGTATAACTGCCAGTCCTAGTTAACTTTTACTTTAAAATTAATGGTAGTCCATGCATTACCCAGTGATCCGTAAATAAAATTTCCATTCCAGGTTACAAGGAAATTACCTGGAGGCCAAAACCTACGACACTCTAGTTGGACTACACAGGACTTTTAATTTGGTGTACACTTTCAGAATGGCTCCTGGCTTCCCTATGCTCTGTAAGTAGAGAATACCTCTGTTTTTCAGACTACATTTAAGATTAAAAAAAATATGAAGCTCTTAAATGTTTAATTTGTGGTATTAATACTGAAAAAATGGAAGGTGGGGAGAAATGATATAAATATTTGTTGGTTAACTTCTACAGAAATTAAAAACTTCAATTTAGTCTACAATTTTCTTTACAGCCCACAAATTATAATCAAAGCTGATGAAAGGAATATTAAGTAATGTACTACCTAGAAAATGGAGTTTGAAAATCCTTTGTTTAAAAAGTAATTCATCCGTTTCTATCTAAAGATAAAGGCGGAATGAAGTAGTATAAACAGTAAAGAATCTTTAATATACTACATTGACTTTACTGTTCGTATTTAGAATACTTGTTAACCTAAACATCATTGAAGATGGTAGGCTTTAATAAAATAAACAAAACAATTTGACCAGAACAATGTAGGTGATGAATAGTAATTGACGAACAATACACAAGTATCTCGCACACAGAAGACCAACACGTAAGAGTTTGTGGTAGGTGTAATAACTGGTCACACAGCGTCGTAAGTTTCTCCTATATGCGGATTATTTATGTATTCCAGGCAATTTTTTAAAGAATTTAAAATTTTAATTTCTCAGAGGGGTGGGGTAAGACGAGAAGATTTCGTTCGGATTTTTAACTCCGTAGGGTTGTCCACCTAGGACAAGTCAGTGCGTCACCGAGGACCAACTTATTTCCATTGGTACTCAATCTTGTACCCCAGGATGCGACCCACACCAGTCTACGAACACCCAGGTACCCACTTGCTGCAAGGTGAACAGGACAACAGGTGTAAGGAAAAGTCGAAATGTTTCCACCCGCCGGGAATCTAGGAGGGCCCTCCTTGTGTGAAGCGGGAGCTTTAGCCACCAGGCTGTAGGAAAGTTTACTTATTGGGGCCTCCCAGCTTAGTTCAATGCTTTCAGATCCAGCTGTAAGTGTTCTGGAGCCCCTGAGCGCTGCTGGCCTAGGTAGTGGTCTACTTGCAACTTGCGGCGGTCAACCAATGAATGCTACTCCAGCGGGCGTCCCTGTTACGTCAGACTTCTCACTGGTATTTGCATTAGTTTGTGTAGATGAAATAAGTTTTAAACCAGGGAAGTTAAAATGTAGTTGGCACAATTTAGTAAGAGATTAGTTTTTGCGTACTTTGAGGCATACTAAATTTTTTTCCTGCTCCAGATTCCACTGGAAAGTGGGAGCCACAGCTATGGTCACATCTACTCTTCGGTCGGGGAAATTGGACTCGAAGCAGCATTTGGAATCGTCCAATGTAAACACTTGGTGGTAAGATTTAGTGAAAGTAAGCTGTGAAACTTATGTTTGGGACAATCTTAGTTTTTTCTTGCTGTCCACTACTTCTACTGTAACAAATGTAACTTTCAGCCGAGAGAACTTAAATTAACGAACTTGTATTTTCACTGGGGAAGGGCGTGGAAGTGGTGGAAAGTCAGTTGCTTGGTGAAATTTAACACCCCCTCCTTCAAAGTGCAGGCACTGTACTTCCTATCTCTAGGCCTCAAGTCCGGCCTGCAGTTTCCCTGGATTCCTTCATAAATGTTACCTTGCTTACTCTAAGCATAGTCTTAAACGATTCAACTCCATTCACTACCTAACAACCTCACGCATGCTTGCTTGAAGTCCAAGCCTCTCGCACAAATTTCCATTAACCCCGCCCCCTCTAACCTTTCCTAGGCCGACATCTACCCCCGCCTTCCCTACACTATTTATTCTCATTCTATTTTGTTCCATCCTCTACATGTCCGAACCACCTCGACAACCTCTCCTCAGCCCTCTGAACAAGTTTTGGTAATCCCGCACCTAATTTCCAAACTACAAATTCTCTGCATTATATTTACATGGCACTCTCACATCTCCACTGCCTCCAGCCTTCTTGTTGCAACATTTACCAACCACTCTTCGCATCCATACAAGAGCGTTGGTAAAATTACAATTGTACATTCCCCTCTTTGCTCCCATGGACAGTTTTCTCATTACTCGGTAAACCACTCTCCTCCCCCCCCCCCCTAATTTCTGATTCGCCTCTTTCATGGACCCATCTGCTGACACGTCCACTGCTAAATATCGGAACATACTCGCCTCCATACTCTCCGTCTGATATCCAATCTTTCGTTACATAATTTTTTATCCTCGCCTTTCTTTCCTATACTTAAAATTTGGTTTTACATACCCTACCAAACTCTTCCACCAATCTCTGCATCTTCTCTTCAGAATCACCAAAGTCTCGTCAAAGAGCAACTGTGACAACTCCCACTTTGTTCATTTTTTAACCCCACACCTCTTGGCAACAAGCATTCGCTTCTGTTAAAACCTAATCTAAACATACTGAACCATGGTGACATCACACATCCTAGTCTTAAGGCCTACTTTTACTGGGAAATATCCCTCTGCTACATACTCTAACCTGGACCTCACTCCTCGTATTCCATACATTTGCAACATTTGCTACGTTATCTCCCTGTCCACCCCCTATCATTCACCTTTTCCAAATCCACAAATGCCACGAAAACCTCTTAACTGAATACTGTTCACCCGTTTCACTGAAAACACTTGGTCTACCCCCCCCTACTCTTCCTAAAACCACCTTGTTCATCTGATATCCTGCTCTCCATCTTAATTGTTTCCATGTCTTTGTAACAATTAGCCCGGATTGTACACCATCAGTGCACTAGCAGACTCCATCCTGACCATACTCATCTCTCCGTTGACAGGGAAAGGCTGTCAAGTGATACTTCGCCCCCAAAATACTTTAAACCCCAACACTACCCGCTAATTGTGTACTTTGTTTAAACCCTAATGTGGGAAAAATGGGGAAGTGTTTTTTAAAAGATTACCGCCATACCCCGTCAGCTAACGATCAAAACCTGGGACTCCCGGGGTATTTAAAGCTAAATTTTAAAATTTTTACCCTAGGGCATGAAAAATTGAATTTTTCATAGTTTTAAAGCAGTTTTTTTTGTTTAAAATTTTTTGAAGCTGGTAAATTAAAATGTAGAAAAAATTTTTGGGGAAGGTTTATTTCCCAAAGGTATAACATTTACTTGGAAAGGTTAACCTTTTGGAAAAAAATTTTTCGTTTTTCATGTTTTTTTGACTTAAGGACAACAGGGTTTTTCCTGCTGTGGGTAGACTATGTAGCAAGTTCGACCCGTGCTGTGTGGGCTGCCGGCTTCAGGATTTTAGCCTTATGAACTAAATTTGGGTACAAAACGGGCTGTCAAGGGAATTTTTCCCTTCCCTAGCTTTTACATTTTTAATGGTAATTAGGGCCCCGATCGTGATATCTTTTTCCAAAATTTTTTCAAACCAGTGCCTTGAGTTTTACTTTCCACTCCCTTTGTGCTTCAAAATTTCCCTTTTGGAAAAAAACCCAAAACCTTTTAAAAGGCCAACTTTGGCGGGGGGGGGGGGGTGAAGTTTCCACAATAGATACAAAGGGGTTGTACATTTTGTTCATCTTGGACTTGAAAATAAAATGCTGAAAATTCTACCTTCAGGGAGCTTGGATGAGCCTGGGACACCACACGTATCTGTTGGTAGCTGAGGAAGAGACAGACTTCGAGCCAGCTCGCCTGAAACTCTTCGAGCATAATGAACACTTCGATGAAATGAAATTGGTCAGTTTTGAGTAACAAGCGACGTCAGGGATAATTTACTTCAACTAAATTTTGGCCCTTAAATAAGCAGAGGTTTTCACACTTAAGAGGGGAAATATTTTCAACTTTAATTTTTAAAGTATGTAAAGGGGGGGGATAAGCATTAAACTGTCACCCCTCCTGTGTGCCAGACTGCTGGTGTTAAAATGCTGATAGGTCGCAAACCCTGGGATTTCTAACCTACTGTAAATTCCACTTGTCTGCAGCAAATTGGAACTAATAGTTTAAAGTAGTAACTTTAAATGAACACTTTACATGCTGTTTAATTTCATTGCACTATTGCCCTTTCAGTACAGAAATATGAAACTCCAACTTCCTCTTTGGAGTGCTGATTGAAAGAACTGCGTGCTCATTTCTATTGTCTTTACCTACATTCCCCTCTAACTGCAAACTACAATTTTTAAGTTGATGCCTGTACATAAATTTTAAACTGGCCCGTTCACACTGGGGATTTGGGAAGCAGCTTGCCAGTTTTTCTTCCAGGTGGAGGGGGGGGGGGCAGTGTTCCATCTTTCTCTTAATTAAAAGGTTAAAAAGGGCAGTTGAGGTAAATAAGTCTTGATTTATTTTCTTGAACTTGATTAAATCTATGATGAAAGCATGTCTTGGCATAATTTTTACTGGTTCATATTTGCCACTTTAGGATCCTAAAGTCCAGTGGCCCTGGGGACAAGCCGTGTATTTTCTTGCCCAGTGTGGCTGACGCTGCTGTATGTTTATTCTGTTGGAATTTTAAGTGTTGAGAGATGAGGAAGCAATGTTTGTTTAATGAACCATTTTCACCCTCTTCCCCCCCCCCAACCTCAATTTATTAAACCTGCAATGAACTCTTCAAATTTGCCAACAATCACCCCCTTTCCCCCCTTTTTTTTTTTATTTCAGCTTAATTAGCTAGGGAAATTTCCAGTAAATTCTTTTCAAATAGATTACGTACTGGGTTTGGAGTACAGTATGGCACGGTTAAAAGCTAGCTTCAGGATGAAAGGGATAGGTACTAAGAATAGCAATTTAACATTTTCAGGTAAGTAGTACAGAGGTTGCTGGTGCTTCTGACGTGGATGTGCTGGTACTGAAGTCTCTGGCAATTGTTGCAGTCACAACACTACCAAATCGCATCTGTAATTCATCTATACTAATCTTTAGCATAAAAGTCGATGTTAAGATCTTGGAGATGGAAAGCCTTCAGGTAATTCCAAGTCTTTGCAAACATTAAAATGTCACGGGGAAAGACTCCTGTACTAGATTAGAGCTATGGTTCATTATATATTTGCTAGGAAAAAAAAATTATACTTTAGCTGTTAAGCTCCGTCCTACCATAAATTGTCAAATAGTAATTAAATATTTTTACAGAAATTGGAAATCGAAGGGGCTGTACACAGCAGCCTGAGTCTCACTACAGTGGGTGACATTGCACTCTTTATACAGAGACGAGAAGACCTTCTCGTATACTACATGAAGGGAGTAAATTTCGTCTTCGTCAGGAAGGTGAGAATAAGATAATGTAAATAAAATATCAAAAGTTCTTGTGAGTTTTAAATTATTTATTTTTTTACTTTTTTTCAGATAAAAACTACACCTTCGTTATGTCCCTCATCTTTCCCATTCCTGTATGGCGAGCAACGAGAGTTGAAGATTGCCTATGCTGGTCTGGGTTGGCTGGATGAAGAATACCTTGAAGACAAACTTGAAATGGTGCCATCAGTAGTGTACACGGCTGTGTACAGAGGAACTCGTAATTTATAAACAGTTTAAAATTTTTTAATAAACCTCAGATGCTTGAAGACTTTTCACATCTCCTTAGTGCTAAGAATATAGGTTTTTTCAGGCGATAGGAAAATGCAGATACAGCATAGGTAATGTTACACGTTGTGTGGCTACCGATGATAGTTGAATGTAATGTTTGGATTAAATCTTAGTTGCTGTGTGGGGGAAGCTTCTACCAGAGTGTGCTGTCCCTAAGTGCTGAAGAATCATTAAAGGTATCCACATGAATAATCCTTAGCATTTTCAGATCTAAGACCCCTCCTATCACTTAGGTTCTCAAGAATGTATGCTTGTCAAGGCTTCTAAAGTTTCTCCCCCCAAAACCAATTTGCCCTAGATTCTCCAGATACTTCATAAATGGTTTCCCCATAATTTTTATTATAGAGTAGCTAGGAGACCTCCAACCTCGGTGGTCCACCCGCCTACCAGCTCCTCCGGTGGTGCCCGCGTTTTTCGGGGTCGCCCTCGACTCTAATTCTTTCGCGGTTTTGCCCTCTGAAACCATCTTGCTACTTCCTACCTTTACTTCATCTTCTCACCCACTAGTTTGTTTGCGAGGCCTCGCACGCCTACACCTTTTTCGCGCTTCCTGAACCTCGCGAATTTGAACCTCTCCTCGCATTCATCTGGTGCTTAAAATTCCCCCAACAGTTTTCCTCTTCGGTTTCTGTACCTAGTTCTCTCCCCCTTTCCAACTCGCATGAAGGTGGTCGTGGTGTTGGCGCCTTGCTTTCTTCAGACTTTGTTCAGGCCGAGGGAGTCCCACAAGCTTTTCCTTAGCACTTGAGTTTTTCTGCTGGCTGCTAATGATCTAGTCTGTTCTTCCATCGCATATTTGGTCGTCGCTTAATGTGGACGACTAAGGTATAGCTTAAACAGGCACTGACTGTGGCCTGGTAGCAGCCTCGCTTCAGGATGTAATAGTTTTTTCCCATTGGGCAAAATTCCATTCCATTACTTGCCCTACATGCCTTCTCGTCCCAGATACTCCATTTTAAATTGCATGGCTAGTGTATCCCGAATTTGATACGGTAAAGTTTCTTGGGGCCTTAAGTTCGATCGCGGTTGACATGGAAGGGATCACATTTCCTCTTTGAAAGTAGCTTGCCCATAGAAAGCTAAACTTTAAAATTTTGCGCATCGTTCATTGAGCGCAGATTTGCCGGACTCTTTGTTTGTATTTCGTTCATACCCTGTTGAAAGCCCTTAAACTGGGCGAATTTTTCCTCCTTACCCGATCGTAGTGATGCTCAATGCGTTTTATTTGTTGCCTCATGTCATGTCCTTCTATTGTGGGTTGGTCTCGGAGGTTAGAGCCCGTTATTTGATGGGCCCCCCGCTTATCCTTCGTCTCCCCTCTGGTCTCCTTCCGTTGCCTTCCTTGTATGTTCAGTAGCATCTGCTTTTTCCCCCTTCCCCTACGCTACTTCTCATCTTTTTTTTGATCTGGACGCATGCTCATGCTGTCAATGTTATATTGAGGGTTCTAAACTATAACCATTTTGGGTTTGGGGGCGGTGTCCCGATGTTCTGGTAATTTTATTAAACGTTTAAAATTTTTAAAGGCGTTATATGCCATCCCGTAGGACTTCTCCGATTACATGTCTTTCAGCATATGTGATATTTTTGGTTTCCCCTCGCTTTTTAAAAACCCATTAAACTTTTAAAACCCCCTACCCAGTGGTTTTTCGTATTAGCTTTGGTTGGTATAACTAGCAAAAAAAAAAGTAGTTTTTGGGTTCCTTGAACTTTGGGTGGCGAGCAATGAACAGGCACCTGCTTTGTCAGTAGTACATGCTCTTCCGGTTTCCTAAGAGTATTCCGTTAAGGGGGTTTTTTTAAATTCCCGTTTCGCATCTTGGGAAGCAGTGGGCGATAAGCCAAATAAATTATTCTATTAAAACCCCGTTAGGGTTTGTGGCTCTTACCACAATGTGTACTTTGAGGCTGCGTTACTGTTCTGCATGGGCCATATCGTCTTTCCCACGGTATCTCGTGGAGTGACATCCCTTTTTCCCGGTTTTTTCGGGGGCCCCATTTCGGTTCTCACTTTCTTGTAGATGTCCGGTTTACCAGCGATCTTGTAGAATTTTTTAACCCCCCGCCCTACCATTTTTTACTTTATCTTCCCTCCTTTGCCTCTTCAAGGGGGGGCTCCAGGCGTGGGAAGAGGGTTTGGCTGAGGAATTAGCCCTGTCGGTTCTTCCCCGACTGAACCTAATTTCCCCCCTTTCCCCTCCCTATCCCACCGTCCCACCTCCCTTTTTCCATTCCTCCCCCCCTCCTCCTCACCCTCCCCCTTTTCCTTCCCTTTTGGCCTTCGTATTTTCCCACAGGCGGCTAGTTCCCAGGTGGGGAAAGGGAACCGGGGGGTCCATCCCTTTCCCTGAGGTTTTTTGGCGGGGGCGTAGTTTGCCGGGAATCTGGATTGTGGGGATGTCCCGATCCCTTCCGTACCCGGGGGGTCTTTGGGGGTCTTTTGGGCGACTGGGGTATCTCTGGAAGCCCCCTTTCGGGTTTCCCGGGGGGGGGTGGCTGAAGGGGGTATGCTTTGTGGCGGATACCGGCCGCCCCCTCTTTTTCCACCCAGGGGCCGGAGATGTGAGGTTTCTATCCCGGATTGTGGGTTTTCTGCATGAAGGGGGGATGG